TTTTCGCACAAGGTTTTTACAATGCCTTCTGAAAGCTGCTGACATTCGAACAATTGTTCAATCCAGTGATCCAGAGAATTTACTTCGATTACGTTGTCCCCAGACATGTCTGACCGACCACCAGGGGATAAACAGGCGCAAGTCGACCCTGTTCGAAAATGGCAACCGCAAGAGGAGGAGAGTCATTAAAACAAGACACCTGTGGCTTATTGTGTTTTCATTATTTTACAGGGAGCTGTATGCTGGTCACATCAACCGAGCTCTATTTCTCTTTAAAATTACATAGCGGTCTTTAATCTTCTTCTCCGTTGGTCTGTGCATAAGTAGCGTATGACCGGCGCCTCAAACTTAAGCTTGTTTTCATTACGTTTGTTTGTAATTGCTGAAGGTTAAGATGTTGTTAATGCATTTACAGGCCCAAAGCTGAATACCTAGTGTTATGCATTTGTTGAATTGTCTGAGTTTCGCGATGTGTATGTTTACACAACCCGTGTGGACTATAGTATCAGTGGCCTTGACTAGAGAAATGGCCTTCCGTCTTTTTCGCGCCTGAAGATGTCGCAGTAGAGCCTTTGTGGGTTGAGGACAATAAGCTGGTTTGACTGTAAGGTCTTCCTGGAATGTTCATGATGGCAGAGCCGGTTTTTCCTGAAAATACATAAAGGTACACGGGTAAGTGGCGGAAGTCGTGGAAAAAGTTCTCCATAAAAAGAACATGTATAGAGCTAAAAGAAGCCTGAAGCCAATCAAATCATTTGGCCTATATTTGGTTCTGGCAAACGCATCAGCGAATGCTCAAGAGACCTAGCCAGTAATAAACTTAGTTTGTTTAGTAAAAGATTTAAGAACAAAATTTTTTTAGTGGATTTTAAACGAAATGCTTGTCACATTTTCACCGGTTACAATCTCCTCAGCTCTGCCTCCACTTATTGCAAAGTCATTAAGAAAACCTTAAAACGTTATTAGGGTTCATTGGGAAATCTAAGACCACCTATGCGGCTCTCGATACGACTTCCGCAATTCTTATTTCAGTTTACTGATGGGAAAGGGGTATTTAACGATTAAGTTAAATCCATTGGCCGTTGAAAAGCACGCCCACCTGTAATATTTGATGGTCATTTTTGAATTATTGCCCCCCACATGGTAGTTATTTACATGGCACTCGATTGTACTTAGTTGGTATGACTAACTTGGTACATGACTATATTTATACACAATAGCACTCGGTGTTATGCATATTATGCTGCACATACGTGGACATCTCGAAAGGTATTTGTGCTATACTTCACTTGCAAATCATCTAATGCGCACCAGCGTCAAGATTCCCAGCTGAATCCAACAGTCTCTCGACCATCACTCCAATTTTACAAGGGTGTTTGAATTTCAGTTGCGATCAATGAGAAAGTTCTAGTCCAACCTTCGAACAACTTTGCAAGGCCTGTCACAGCGAGGTTGTAGTGGCT